TGGGTATTTATAACATCATTCTCAGGCCATATAGAATTATCAACTTAAAAATTAGCCTGTAATATTTGGTCAAACATTTAATTTACTTAACTCTAATGCCTTGTCAGGGCCAAACCAAATGATATCGTGGGCCTTATGTAGCCCGAGGGCCGGATGTTGCCTACCCCTGATTTAGGTTATGTGTGTCTTTACTGAGCAGGACAACCTGCCAAATTTTAAATTCAGACAGCGATTGCTCATTTGTCCATTCTCCTCAGCACAGTGCCTTACATAAAGCAAGAGGTTTAGTAAAACTATTTGCTGAATTATTGACTGCACAAATGAGATAACAAAATGTAATCGGGAGATCATGTTTGTCCAACCTTATCCAGTTTTATTGGGTCTTAAATACTTAGCAGTTGTTTGGCCTGGGTAAGTTTACCAAGAGTAAGCAGGAGTTGGGGCGAATAGAGAAAACAAGAACTGAATGGCCTCCTCCTTACTTTGATGAAGCAGTTCTATCTTAATGCTGCCTTGTCCTTGGCCCCCATTCCTTGGCTGCCTGATCCTAAGTAGAATCAGAGACCCCTAGCGTTTGAAGGGCCTTAAGGCTTATTTAATGTGATTCCTACATTTGCATATGAGAAAACTTAGTGATTCCCATCTAGTTTTTCAAACTCCAGCCTAGTAGCATTTATCTACCATAAAACCCTCATACACCTCTTTTTGACTGGTATAAACTGTGGCTCCATTGTTTAAGTTGATTTGAGTAAATATTTTTGCTTTATCTTTTCGGTCTGTGTATATAAATCCACGTTGGTGTCTCTGTTAAGAGTGTGTATATAGCAGATGGGTGCCTAGCATAGAGCTAGGTCAAAGGGCACTGAACAGTTTCTTTTGTTTATGATAGAAAGTTGAATCGAAAAGCAAGTATATCTGAGAAAGTAAGAAAGACCCTAAGAAATGTTTTATTCCCTGTCTTAATAATTTAGATTATAGTTGCCTTTGCACTATAAAGAGTTATTTGTTGGGGGAATAAGAAAAGGCAATAATCTGTAGATTCCTTTTCAGTTTTTGTATAGGTTTGGTTTCTTTGAAATCTGGTCTATTTCCTTTTTTATCCAGCTCAATAACTTAACAAGTATCATTTATTAAGGCAGGACTCTTATAAGGAATTGGCCTCTCCTTCTAAAATAAAATATAAACACCAAACTTTCAGGAGGTGAAAGGTCTAGAAGCAGGGCAGGGACTTGAGTGAGGCAAGCAGGCACTCAGGCCTCAGAATGTAAGCCGGCAGGTGCACCACCCTGAGAATAAATTGTGCCGCACCTTGGTCCCAGCCCTGTCTGGAAGGAAGGAACTTCTGCAGGTGATGTGGAAGTAGCTGTGCCATGGGGTTTGCCCCTTGATTCCTGTGTTCTTCCTGCACTCGATTCCCAAGGTTTCTCCTTGAGAATTCTGGTTCAAGTGTGGCTAAAACATGGCACTGTCGTGTATGGAAAGAGCTTTAAATCAGTGTACACTCCGTGTATTTGACCTGGGCATAAGGCTCTGGCCACTTGGAGTTTGTGAAGTTATAAAACTGAGCAGATGTTAGAGCACCAGGTACAGTTGACTTTGATGATAGATCTGACCCCAGGGGTTCTCTTCATGCCCCTCTTCCTTCCTGTTCCCCTTAGCACTATGGGAGTCTGGCATTTTCAACAAGAACTCTAGTAAGTACTAGAGTTGGGAGTTTGTTTTTTTAAAATGACTTTTCACACAAAATAGAAAAAGAAGCCTACCTCTCAACGTACAGAAAAAGCCCCTGTAGCCCAGAAGTGCTGGTTAACAACTGCATCTCTGACTGGCTTCTTTCCCCAGCTTGGAACCTGCCTCACTTCCTGGGAATGGGTGTGCCCTTCTCAAATGCTGGCCCCTAACCAGAGCTGAGGCCCAAGATCCCTGTTGAAACCAGTTAGCCCCCAGGGCCCTTCCTGAGTGGCTTGAGAACAGTGTTACCCTTCCTGACACCCAAGGCCTCTGGAGCCTCCCTCGGTAAACAAGGAAGTGCCTCATCCAGCGCAGGTGAACGCCTTAGCAGTATCACAGGCAAGTGATCTGGGTTAGACCAGGCAGTCTGTTAGAAACCCCAAGAATTTTCTCTCAAAATCACTAGAATCACTCCACTAGGATCAAAGTCCTCCTTTGACACTACACCAGTATTACATTTTTTCACACATGCAAGATCTGTCTTAACAGTTTTTTTTCTCCCTGTTACAAATGCAGTTTCTATTTTTATGGAGAGAGTAGTCAGTTGACGTTTTGGATCATTGAAATGTCCCAGTCGTTACTGGTTATGTAATATCTTGTATATCTGTCAACTATACCCAAGGTTATTTAAAGCCAAGAGGCCTTTTTTTTTTTTTTTTAAGTATAGAAATTCATACGTATAAATGAGCATTGTATAGTTCCAGTATTTCCTAAATTTTAATTTGGGAAGATTTGCTTTTTGTGTATTACCTATACTATTTTTTATTTACTATTTTTCTTTCATCAACTTTCATTTTTTAAAGACTTAGGCTCATTCTAAGCCTTTTAATAATCACATTAAATTTTTCCTAAATACACTAAAATAAAGATGTAAATATTGAAATGAAAAATTTACCCGTGACGCACCTAAAATTATCTTATGCAGGTAGTACCAGTAATAATAGTTACAATAAATAATTAAAATTTACTGAGCTCCTTCTGATACCGGTCAGGGAACCTGGCCCTGGGAAGGTCTGCCTAGGGCCAGCTGGTAGTGTGTGGGTTCTTTGTGCAGAAAAGATTTCACAATATGAGTCCAGGTGACTATGAGGGTATGTTTATTAAAGCTGGGGACAGTAAAACAATGAAGGGCTTAGCATAGAAGAAACAACAGGAGAGCCTAGGCTGGACTGCTTTGGTTTCTAAAAGTGTTACAGGAAACAAATGAGCTGGGGTGGGCTGCTTTGGTTTCTAAAAATGTTATAGGAAACAAATGAGCTGAAGCAGGGCCGCTTTGGCTCACTGAGAAGTCAAAAGAGAAAAGAAAGCCTTGGAGACAGATTTGGGGGTAAGTGGGGGACAAGCTGCTGCTGACCACTGCTCCCCTGGTTGCAAGTCTCCTGGGGAGCCTTCGCGCCTTTAGGAGATGCTTGCCTGAGGGGGAAGAAATGTGATGCGTGCTCCTAGGAGGGAGAGCTTGAGCTGGGTCCTTTGTCTTAAGGGCTTTATTCTCTCTTTTGCCGTTGGGAATCTTAGGGGAGGTCTCAGGGAAGGTTTCAGCAGCATATTCATCAGCTTTCCAGATGTGCTCTTTCAGCGTCTCTGCTGATTGGTCAGCACCAGGGCAGGGGGTCATTGGTCATTGCAGCTGCTCCTGGCTTCGACCACCTCCTTTTGCTGCTTTTCTGGGCCTGGAGCTGAAATACAACTGAGGCCTAGATGTTATCTCTAGGGAGGTGACCACTTGTATGTAGCTATAAATTGCTCCGCCAGTTTGTTCAACTATCTGTCTTGGCTTCCCCATTCCACTTGCCAAGGAATTTTTTTAGCTTACTCTCTTGCCTCATTTCTATATGCCAGGTACTTTTCTAAATGCCTTATAAGTAATCACCCGAGCACCTTCCTCTTCTCCCATGCTCTGCCTCACAAATTCTAGCTGCCTTAGCCTTCCTAAACTATGCTATGTTTCTCTTCAACACAGCAAGATCACTGGGCACTGTTCAGGTCCCCCATTTCTTTCCTATGGCCTAGAAACTGCCTCTAGGCCATAAGCTGTTGCAGTCATAGGCTCACCTCATTTGTTTCCCTTCTACAGGGATCACGTCCTATATTGCCTGCAATGTCTGAAAACTGGCGTTTCATTTATTTTATTGCTTTTCTTGTTTTATGAGGATGGAGAGTAAATCCAATCCCCTGATACTCCATCCTGTAATCCATCTTTGTTTGAATAATGTCAAATCTAGTGCCATATATGTATAGTATTGAAAGAATCAAAATCCAGTCCTAATCCTTGCCCAGTGACTTAACTTTGTGCTTCTCACAATGTGGGCTTCTGAGACTTTCTACCCAGATGACTTAGAGCAACTCATTTGATTGCTCAGTTTCATTTTTACCTGTAGAAGGAAGGTTATGAATCTTCTTTATAACACACAGAGGTGATATTAAGTATGACACAAGAAAATGTGTCGATTGGCTTAGATTGAGCTATTGTCAAACAGAAGCTAGCTTACTGTCACTCATTATTATCTATATATATAAAAAGCCGGCGTCTGTAACAACCAGAACGACTGATGATCAGTTGCTGTGATGCCAACCTCCCACAGCCCCTCTCCCTGGCCATCCCCGCCCCCACCACCCTGATTGGCCCATAGCCCCTCCCTCCACCCAGTCCCACCCATGGCCCCTCCACCAGGCCGCTGGCTCCGGGTCAGCACCCCCCACCCCATTCGGGGGCAGGGCCAGCTGGCCCACCGCCCACAGCCCCTCCCCCCCAACCTGCCCCACCCCTGATGGACCCCCACCATCCCGATCAGCCCGCAGCCCCTCCCCCCATCCAGCTCCACCCCCCATCAGCATTTCACTCTGATCAGGGGCAGGACCGGCCGGCCAACCACCTCCCCCAGGTCACTGGGCCCCTATTGGCCCCCCACCTCAATCAGCCTGCGGCCTCTCCCCACAGCCAGCTCCACCCCCGATCATCCCCCCCACACCAATCAAAAGTGGGGCTGGCTGGCCCACCACCCACAGCCCCTCCCCATGGCCGGTCTCACCCCCAATTGTCCCCCTACCCCAATTGGGGGCGGGACCCACAAGCCAATCGCCCACGGCCCCTTCCCCCAGCCGGCCTGGCCCTGATCAGCCCAATCAGGGCGGGCTGGCTGGCCAACCTCCCGCTGTCTCCTCCTCTCGACAGACCCAGCCCTGATCCACCCCGATTGAGGCCGGGCCGGCCGGACCCCGTCTGTGCACAAATTCATGCACTGGGCCTCTAGTTTATTATAATAGTCTTTATTATTTACATTTATTTTTAGGCACCATACTGGACATACCTATTATGTGCACTCGGGCTCTTTATCTACCAGTCACTGGATGCTATTGACGGGAAACAAGCCAGAAGAACAAATTCTTGTTCTCCTTTAGGAGAACTTTTTGACCATGGTTGTGACTCTCTTTCCACAGGTAAATTAACTAAATTGTGTTTGTTTTTTTAATAATGACTTAAACATGAAATGAGCTGTTTGAATGGTTTATTTTTTTTGGATAGGTGTACCTATGGGAGCAATTTCTTCAGTGTATTTTAAAAGTATCTTCAAGTGTTTATTTTGTTTAGTGTACCTTATTCTAATGCCAAGATTATGTTCCTTAAAACTCTGTATTGCTGAATAGTAGATGGTGATTTTTTTCATTAATTATTTCCAATTCTTAATGGTTCTTAAACCTTATTTCTTTCAGTATTGATGGCAGTTGGAGCTTCAATTGCTGTGCGCTTAGGAACTCATCATGACTGGTTGTTTTTCTGCTGTTTTATTGGGATGTTCTTATTTTATTGTGCTCATTGGCAGACTTATGTTTCGGGTGTGTTGAGGTTTGGAAAGTAAGTATGTATTTTAAGTTGTACATTTAAAAATATAACTGAATTTATTTTCACTGTCTGTTACAGTTCATATATATGTAATAAGGGGAACAAAGCTTCAATCAGGAATTTAAATTATCTTTTAACTTACTGGAACATCCATAAATGTTATATCTTAATTTAAATCTTTTAGGTATTCTGCTGGTTATAAATAGTTACATATTTGATAACAATTTTATTTTTGCTTTTTCTCCAACTTATTAGCCCAAACTTATATTAGACAGGAGAAAGAGGAAAAATGAGGGACCTGAATAATAGAGAAAAAGGACTCATGATCAATGCTCAGTAAATGTTAGTTCTTTCCCCCTTTTTCTCCACAAAGTACCGAACATTTTATTATTATGTTTTCCTTTTCCAACTAACTTGATTATTTCTCCATGAAGCCTGGAGGCCACTGATCTTACTAATACCTGCATGTCATTATTCATATTTTCCTTAATATTCAGTTTACCTTTTCTCCTAACTTTCCCCAAATAACTTAGTTGTGTTTTCTTCCATTTCTGTTTTGTTGTTGTTTTTAATCTAATCCTCATATTTTTTATATTTGCAGAGCAATAAGTATTCCTTTAGCATCTAGAGACTCTGGGGCATCCAAGTGGAGATGTAAAGTAGGCTGAGAGATATAAAAATCTGGAGCTCAGAAAAGAAGATGGGGATTTAGAGGTCATTAGCATATAGATGATAGTCTTAAGTACAGAGAGAATTGTTCAGAGACTCTAAAAGGAGAAAAGATGGAATTCTGGAAGTAATAGCATTTAAGATGTGGAAAAAGAAGCAGTCTGGGAAGGAGCCTGAGAAAAGCTTCCTGCAAGTTAGGAGAATCAGGAAAGAGAATAGAATAAATAAAACCATAGCAAAGCATTTCGAGAAAGAGGGAATGATCAGCATTTTCAATATTGTAGAGAGGTTATGCAAGATAATAACTGAAATGTATTCCTTAGTTTTGGCAAATTGAAAGACACTGTTTACCTTAAGTAATTTTAGTAGAATGGTGCCAAATATCAGACTAGAGTGGATTAAGCAGCAACTCTGAGGACAGGAGGAAATTAGAAATGTACTACTTTTCAGTTAACCTGTTTATGGAGCAAAGAAGAGAGGAGTCAGTAGCTTCAGGGGGTACCGATTAGAGCAGTGATGGCGAACCTATGACATGTGTGTCAAAGGTGACACGAGTACTCATTTTTTGGTTGATTTTTCTTTGTTAAATGGCATTTAAATATATAAAATAAATATCAAAAATATAAATCTTTTACTATGGTTGCAAATATCAAAAAATTTCTATATGTGACATGGCACCAGCGTTAAGTTAGGGTTTTTCAAAATGCTGACACGCCGAGTTCAAAAGGTTCGCAATCACTGGATTAGAGACTGATATTGCTGGTTTTTAGGGTTGTTTTTTTTTTTAAATTATTTTTATTGATTTCAGAGAGGAAGGGAGAGGGAGAGACAGAAACATCAATGATGAGAGAGAGCCATCAATTGGCTGCCTCCTGCACACCCCCTTACTGGGGACCAAGCCCACAACCCAGTCATGTGCCCTCCACCGGAACTGAACAATGGATCCTTCAGTCTGCAGGCCGTCGCTCTACCCACTGAGCCAAACCAGCTAGGTCTAAGGGTTGTTTTTTTATACAAAATATTGAAGCACATTTATATATTAAGAGGAAAATATTTGGGTGGGGGAAACAAAGGGAACTCTTAGTAACTTAATAAGGAAAACTATTGGAATTTTCCCTGCTTTCTTAAGTTAAATTGACTTGAGAGTGTTTAAGAATTTGTCTTAAATTATCTGTTGTTTTTATATTTTATAATTTTTTCTGATTATGAGAGTAATTGTTATAAAAAAAATCAAACTTTACGGAAGTATATAAAATAGAAAGTAAAAAGTTTTCTGCAGTCTCAGTTGGTAACCACTATTAGCAATTTTATATATGCCATGGAGTTGTCCTCTTTATGCATATACTAATATTTACCTGTATGTGAGCACATGTTGTTCTATAGGTGTGTTTTTTACTTAACTGTGTAGTCAGCTGATAATTCAGTGATGGAACTAAAGGTAAAAATAAACTAAGCCTATAGATATTTTTACACCTTTGATATTTAATATATGGTTAACTAACCTTTACATACAGGAATTTTATTTACAAATATCTTTTCTATTCTTTATCCTTCATCTTTAGAGTGGATGTAAATGAAATTCAAGTAGGTTTAATGGTCATCTTTGTGTTGTCTACATTTGGAGGAGCAACAATGTGGGACTATACGGTAAAACTGAATGTTTATATTTACTTTTAAGTACTTTTTAAATAGGAAAAATATTGCATTGTTAATTTTCTTCAGAAATCCTGGGCATTGTACTTAATATTCATTGCATTTCTTAACTTTCTCCTTTTGTTTTATAATTTTTTTTATCCTACATACCTTATTATGACATTTTCCTTTATGCAAGAATATATTAGCACAGAGGGAAAAAAACCCCACTTCCTTAATACAAACTTAAACACTAGTTGAACTGCCTTTTCCAGGCCAAAATTTATCTCATAAAATAGATGTTTAGAAGAGTAAATTCAATAAAATATTTTACATTTGAAAATTGTCCCTCAATATTAGGAAAGAAATGTTGCTAATTTGCATTTTTATACTCTATAATGAGGTGAAGTTTCCCCTATTAAGGAGTATTTTCATTTTCTGCTTGGTTGGTAACCTCAGTATTTTGATCAAAACTGACACAAAGCCACTGTCATACATTCACGCTTTGCAAAGGGAGAAACTAGAAAGAAACAAATTATTGTGTCTCTACAACCTAAGTCCACAACACTGGCTGACTCACAACCTCATTCCCATAGAGTTAAGAAGAAGGATAATATCAATAGCCAACAACTAACGTTTATTCAACACTTATTATGTTCCTAAACATTCTACTATCATTGTTTCACCTGATCCTCAGAACAATCCTATAAAATCGATATCATTAATCTGTTTTATAAATGTTTTAGAATGATTAAGTAATTTGTCCAAGAACACATACCAGGTAGCTAGTGAGATCTGGAGCTAGAAATTAAGTAGACTGATTCCAAATTCTATGTTTTTAGTCACTAAGCTACATTATACGTCCAATGAAAATAGTATGAGATACAAAACTAAACATACTCCTACCATAAGATCCCTTGGGATTTATCCAAATAAGTTGAAAACTTATCCACACAAAAACCTGAACATAGATGTTTATAGCAGCTTTTTTTATAATTTCCAATACATGGATGCAACCAAGATGTCCTTCAGTAGGTAAATGGATAAACCATGGTACATCCAGACAATGGAATATTAATTACTATTAAAAAGAAAAAGCTACCAAGCTATGAAAAGACATGGAGAATCTTTAACTGTATATTACTTAGTAGAAAAAGCCAATCTGAAAAGGCTATGTATTATACGACTCCAACTATATGACATTCGGGAAAAGGCAAACGATGGAGATAGTGAAAAGGTTAGTGATTGCAGGAGTTTGTGGGGAGGAGGGTTAAGTAGACAAAGCACAGAATTTTTATAAGGCAGTGAAACTATTCTGTATGATATAATGCTGGAGGCACTGGGGCCTATGGAGACTCTGTACTTTCCGTACAATTTTGCTGTGAACCTAAAATTGCTCTAAACGGTAATTCTATTAAAAATAGTAATAGGAGACTTCTCTGAGACAATAGTTTCAGAATTGGCTAATTATAGTTCATATCGCTAGGATCATAAATAGACTTTGAGCATATTTTCAAGTAGTGGTACATTTCCTGAGACATTCATATTTCTTCTCATGTAAGTTTAAATAATAGAATCAAACATATGCTACTATAAGCTTATAGAATAGTAGAGGAATGTGATGTGTCTTAGGTGGTAGCTGTTCTGTTAGTACCCATAAGAAGGTGAATGTGGACCTAGAGGCAGTTAGGCATCTCTGGTCATTGAGTCAGATGTGGTTGTCTTAAATTTGGAATTCTGATTTAGTTTTAATGGGGAAGAATGTAACTTCATCTTAAAATCATTTCATCCACTCTTTTGGCAGTACTATAGGAAGAAAGCACATCTGCTTATTCTCACCAATAAGGCTATTTATTTTAGATGTAAATTTTCTAAATTAATTGTTAATCTATAGTTTACACAAATTTTGGGACAATATTTCAAAGTCTGTTTTCAGAACACAACAGCCTACAGCTTTTGGCAATTCATTGTTACTGTTTTTTAAATCCTTTGCTGCCTTTGGAAGTTTTCTTGAACAGCATTTGACCAACAGGTAAATATACTGCTAGAGATTTCATCCTGGATCTTAACTACACAGAATTTTTGCATGGACACACATCATGATTGTCACATTCATGATGCAGATTATGGTGTCTGACTTTCCTGTGATTTACTAAATCCAAGTGACCTATCCTTTTTCATTCATTTAAGTCAGATGAAGGTTTATGAGATTAAATGTCTCACGACAATTATGTAAGTAGACTTAGCTGAATTTGGTGGACTTTTCACTTAATGAATAAAACCATTAAAAGAGAAGTTACCACTTCAGGCTACCTTCCAGAAGTTATGGTTTGAATAAAAGAAAAATGATAAGTTATTGTATAGGATCATATTGTAATGTTTCTTTACTATTTAATAGGAAAATAAATTCTATTTTCTTAATGATGTTTCTTTTCTCTACCCCTCAAGATACCCATTCTAGAAGTAAAATTGAAGATCTTCCCAGTTCTTGGAGTTGTAGGTGGAGCAATTTTTTCCTGTTCAAATTATTTCCATGTTATCCTCCATGGTGGAGTTGGCAAGAATGGATCCACTATAGCAGTAAGACATTAATTTCATCATCATGTAGTATTAATTTTATGCTAAACTTACTTAGCACCAGCTACAGAGATACTAAACATATGCTGAAGTTCAAGAATGGGGAAGGGAACGAAATATCTTAAAGGATTCTTTTTAGGTACATAATACAAAAGCATTTTTAAAACAGTGTAGATTGATAATAAAGCACTTTTCCTCTTTGTATACTTTCTGAATAGACATTCCTGGCATTTCATTTACTCATCTGTTTCATTACTGTACATAATTAAGAGTTGCTATTTGTTGTCTTGCATTTTGTGCCTTACACTAATAAGGAAAGGAGAGGAGAGGAGAAAAGGTAGAGACTGAGTTCCTGATTGAATGGCAGGAAAGCTGCCAGGGGTCATTGTTTCACATATGGGGTACTTATTACCAGAGAAGTATATTTCAAAGTATCTGTTTCTTAAAAAACATATTGTAATCTTCAAGGTTCTTGAACATAAGGATATGAATACTTATTCCAGTGATGCCATCTTTTATAAAAAACGTTTTTGGAATGTCTTTTTAGAATTACTTTAAGCTATAAGTCATTCTCGTTAATTTCTTTGGTGCTATAGTTCAATTTTTCTGTCCTTTAAAGGTGGATTTGATTTAGAAAAAAAAAGTCAGTCATTTGGAGCTTGGTCTAATAAATAAGAGGAGTAATAAACATAAAACACAGCATTTTTCATTTAAAAAAAAGTCTTATCCTCTTAAATGACATGAATTGGCTTTAGGACAATTTCAAAAGAATCCATATAATTCGTAAATTATCCATCTTTTAAAATATATTTTATATACATAATTCAAAAGCTAAGTATAAAACTCATTTAGATACATAAGTTCTGATATATTTGGAAACATTATTTTGATTTTTTTGAGGTGTTTTGTCTGTTGACCTCAGTACAGTACTGTGCAGAGGTGCTTAGGAAGACTAGTTGCTTGACCGTGGGTGACAAAATAGAGCACTAGCTGGAACACGAGTCCTACTAAAGAAAGTATGATTTAGTAAGCGTCAGTGTCCACTTTAGAGAATGTTTTACTAAGAAATAATTGATGGACTGCTTGAAGGAAGACAAGAAATCAAATATTAGGGCTAGGAAGTAGTTGATTTCAAACTCTTAAACTGGTGGTTTTCCAACTTTTTTAGCAGCAGATTTTCTTGAATAAAATCTCCCAAACCATAATACAGATAAAAGCACTATTTTATTAGTCTAAATTTTTATGTTATTACTATATAGTATAATGTTTTATTATATATGGCTTTGTAGTATTGTTACTGTAATTTTATAGTAAGTTATAACATGTAAACTTAAACAAGAATAAGTCTTTTTAATGAACACATCTAAATTGGTGGTTATAGATTTAATAAGTCTTAAGACCAAATTTATTTTAGTATTTTGTTTAGGATAAGCAATGCTGAGAGAATCCTGATTCATAAAGATAAAAATGTAATGGGTTGGATGTTACAGTGTTACATAAGTTCCTAAAACAAAATAGATGCTCAGAAAATGTAATCAATAGTGTTAAAATGTGATGTTGATTTTCTGCTTTATCCATTAGGGCACCAGTGTCTTGTCACCTGGACTTCACATAGGAATAATTATTATACCGGCAATAATGATCTATAAAAAGTCAGCAACTAATGTGTTTGAAAAGCATCCTTGTCTTTATACCCTAATGTTTGGATGTGTCTTTGCTAAAGTAGCACAAAAATTGGTGGTAAGAAATTATTTTATGATTTATGGTATAATAACCTACTTGGTCCTCAAACTCAGAACTGGAAACTATTTCTTACAGTGGGTGTTTTGTGTGTGTGTGTGTGTGTGTGTGTGTTGTGTTATCATCATAAAATGTAGGTATCTATTTATCCTCCAAGTAAAATTGTGAATGAGTTAATGTTATATTTAGGGAAACAGATTCTTTACTGTATAGCAAGTTCTTTTATTTGTTTAATTATAATTATCAATTATAACTTTCTGATATCAAGAAATTTAAATACTGGAAACTTTAATAAGCTACCCAGTCATCAATTATGAATTTAAGAAATTTTAGATTCAGTATTTCCATATCAAATGTGAGATTAAATGGTGTATTTATCCTTATTTGTCTTAATAGTGAATTAAAGTTATAATCAATTCTGTTCTGCAAGTAAAAGCTAAAATGTTTGAAATTTAATAGTAAAATTATTTTGTTTACTTTTTTATAGATAGCTCACATGACTAAAAGTGAACTGTATCTTCAAGACACTGCCTTTTTGGGCCCAGGTCTTTTATTTTTAGACCAGTACTTTAATAATTTTATAGACGAATATGTTGTTCTATGGATAGCAATGGTAAGTTCTTTTCTGCTAAGATTTTATTTTTAACAGATGTCAGATTTCAGTGAAATATCAGGTAGTCTTACTAACTACTAGTTTACACCATAAATGTTTCTGTAAAATAATTTTAAGCTGTGAATTGTTTTTTATTGAGTATAGAAACAGCCTACATATCTGGAGATCTTGCTTCCAACCAAATTTTTTTTTTTAATATATTTTATTGATTTTTTACAGAGAGGAAGGGAGAGAGATAGAGAGTTAGAAACATCGATGAGGGAGAAACATCGATCAGCTGCCTCCTGCACATCCCCCACTGGGGATGTGCCCGCAACCCAGGTACATGCCCTTGACCGGAACCGAACCTGGGACCTTTCAGTCCGCAGGCCGACGCTCTATCCACTGAGCCAAACCGGTTTCGGCATTCCAACCAAATTTTTAAAAATACAACTGTTTACTTAAAAATAACTATATCTTTATCCTCCCCCCAAAATAGTATAAAGATATCAAAAATGACTTTACTCTGCCAAAGGACTACAGCACTTATTAGTGTCTTTTACTTAATCAAGCTTATTAGAATTAATCCAAGCTTATGGCAGGTTACAGGTAAATTAGATGGAGTTCGTGTTAGCAAAGGTGAGCACTTATTGCTTTAAAAACTCAACGAATATTGAGGAAATGAAACAAAACAGTATTACCAAGTACCAGATTTGGGGACCATTTTCTGGTAGCAGTAAGTAGCCCTATATATGGCCCTCGAGGATTTATATTCATGATGATGTCTCATCAAGCAAAGGTTAAACTCTCATTGATTACATCCTCCTTAAGAATGTGATGGATAGTACATATGTTCAAAATATTATTATCCAAAATGATTATATAGAATTATGGTACTTAAGAGAGAAGCTTTAGCCATCAAAGGAAAAGAAAATCATTGTTGGTAATAACTTAATCACAAAAATGGATAAAAGAATTATTTTCTTATTTTATTGAGACAACTTTATGGTAGATATTTAATTATGGTGGTTTCAGACAATTCTGCTATATTTTCCCCTACGTCTGGACCTCACTTGCCTTCACCAAATTTTTAGCGATATATAAACACATTTTAAAGTGTGCTGAAAGAAACCCTGCAGTGAATCTCTTGATAATTTGAATCTACCCTATTTGTTAGATTTAGGCACTAAAAAACTATATCTGTTCTGTGTGGGGTACCACATCTGATATCCTTTATACTAGGTTCTGGAGTAAATTAATAATATCCATCCGTGGCCCATTCAAAGGTTTTCCATTCTTCAAATGGTGGTGAGATCAGAATAATTTCCTTTAATTTACTGTCCACTTTAAATACTTTTAGAGCTCCAAAACAGTATACATTTAAGAACTGGATGGTTATTCAAAATATCTGAAAATTCAATGTAGGGTTTCTTTTAGTGAACTTAAATATTACCAAGTGGAATTGTTTAACATGATTAAAATATCAGGTTAAAAACTTAAGTACCTATTTGTAATGAGTGAGTTGGCCTGGTTTACACTGATGGTGATTATGGTGAGGAAGTCAAATTCAAAACACTTGTGCCCTTTGGCATCCTTAGGGGGAAGGTTCTTGCTTCAGAGAGAAAAGGATCACACAGAGCATTTCAAGTAAATGATGGGGGGATTTACCTCTCATGGGTGAGAATTCCCTCTCTACTAACAGAGTTGTGAGGCTCCTATTTCTGAAAGGAAGCATCTGCCTCTGGTCTCTGGGAAGTTTTTAAATAGTGTGCTTTCCTCAATTTTTATACAACACAATTTTGTATATGCCTCCCCTTAACTATAGGATCTTTTCCAGGCCTTTTTGTCCCCCTTGGTCCACAAGGGACATCTACCTCACTTCCATAGGCCTTTACTTTCTTACAGCTAATGTTAAATGAGTAAGAAACCTCTATGATGGAATGATTTTGTTATAACTGATAGCCCCTTCTAGTAGAAATTTGTAGCATAGCAGATAATTGAAAGAATGTGAAGACTTCCATTCTATTACTTTCCAGCTTTTGTGTTTTAGTCTAGGCTTTTACCACTGTGCCTCAGATTCTATAACTGTGAAATACCTTGCATGTTCCAGAGGACTATATGAGGTTCAAATATGAAATATATTGAAATACTCTAAAATGCATTTTTGTTGAATTTTCAATTAATTTTGAGATTGGGGAGGGAGGGCAGGCAGAAAAATAGCTGCTGCTTCAAGAGGGATAGACCATAATCTATCTTATATTTTCTTTTTTTGCTCTAAAGGTCATTTCTTCATTTGATATGATTATGTACTTTAGTGCTTTGTGCCTGCAAATTTCAAGACACCTTCATCTAAGTATCTTCAAGATTTCATGTCATCCAGCACCTGAACAGGTTCACAAGCATATTGACTAATAACCCAAGGAAAAAAGGAGAAGCAGTTAGGGGAACCTAGGAGTGAAGGAAATCCCCTTTTGCAGGAGGCTAGTATACTATCAAATAAGGTTATATTTGAATATAAAACATTAAGTCCTGTAAATTCCATTGTGTCTATTTCAGTTGTGAAGTCCTCATTGTGTATCAACATTTTTTATAACAGATTACCAGAGTAATACAAATCTATAAATTAGAAATAAAACTAAAGAAAGAAATTTAAATTTTCTAGGTACAAGAAAGTGAACCACTATAGTTCTAAATAGCAGTATCTGTTCTCAGAAATTCTTATACCCAGGATTTTCATTGCCAAATGATTACATAAAAATTCAGAACTGAAAGGATTTTAGCCATGTTGAGGATGATGCTACTTTGCTAAAAATTGATGTGTTCATAATACTGCATAAGTACATGGATTATAATACTGTATTTATTGAGAATGATTTATGATTTTTTATTAGTCATTTTCAAAAGAGGCATGTTAATCACTATCATATAAAATGAAATACATGCTTTAGTATACCAACTAGAATTTAAAAGGGCTATTGGAATTTTCTATAATTTGTATTAAGTAAAAGCTATTTGTCTTATTCAGAAAAACAAATGAATCTTTATAGTGAGGGCAACTTGTTTCTTGATATTCTGAATTAAAATTTCATTGTCACAAAAAGATGGGCATTAAACATCCTTTTATGAAAAGTAAAACAGTACTTAAAATACAGTTGACATAAGAAAATTAGTAATTTATGAAAACATGACAAAAATATCTTCCCTTTAGAATACTAGCCAAAGTTACTACAACTACACATTTCATTTGAGGTAAAAAGGGGATAAAATAAGTATCAGTTACTCAACCACTAAGTGCACTATGTACTGATTCTTATCTTTCTACTCTCATTTCGAAGTATTTTATAGTGTTCATTATGAATAATAGAACTATCACCAAGCTCTTTGGTGATCCAAATCCTCAGACTCCCTCCCCTCTTATCCTACTTTTAATTTTATCCCACAGTTCTGTAGACCATAAGCCATATGATAAAATAAAAAAAATAAAGGAGTAATGAACATGTACTATATCTTAAGCAAGAAAAAGACAATGAAAAAAGTGGAAGTTGATATTCCTTAAAAGGAAAAACTATATACTTACGTGAATTAAGGACACAGAAAACACTCCAGTGTACTTATTTTGTCTCTGTAACACTTGGTAAACTCAAATAAGGACCTTCTTAGGCATTTTAATAGTACCTAAGATTTATATTCCAAAATATATTTTGGCTTACAAGGGAACTCCTCTACAAAATGTAAAAATTTAGGAAGCAAATCGTCCCCCTAATGTCAGGTAGACTATTCTTAATGGTGGACTAATTTCTTCCTATTTAAGTTATCACAGAAAAAGAGAATTCCCATGGATTTGTTTTTAAAACTTTGAAAACCTTAAAAGTAATTTAAGAGTGGGTTATGGGGTGGGGGAGGATTAGAATTTAAAACACGGAAAAACAGGAGAAAATCACTTCTAATGGGCATGTTTGGGGGGGGGGAATATTTTTTGTTTTGAATGAGTCAATGAAAGCAGTTTGAGCAAAAAAATAGTAAGTTTAGCTGATACTTAAAACAAATGGTGGAACAATTTCTTTATTAAATCAAGTGTTTCATATATTTTGTTTTTAAAATACACATTTTAAAAGACAAGGTATATGAATTAACTGTTCAAGTTTGGAAATGAATGTAAAATCATACTTCCATATATTTAATCAGTACTACAAGTATGTGCCATTTAATTTTAGACCAAGCTCAATTAAATGGCATTTTATTGTCTTTGTGGAAATGACATTCACAAATCTGTATTTTGAAATCTGTATTTATATCTTGTTCAATCATCTTAATGGTTTTTAGTGGTTTTATTCCACAACACAAATTTAAGTTGCTTTTAATACATTTTATAAGTCAACAGATTTTCTTTTGAAATCTTATCATTAGAATTGGCTATGTAACTTAATGACTTTATACAAAAGGATGTACATATAAAAATAGATTTTTTTTTCTTAAAGAATAACAATGTAACCTACAATACTTATGCTTTCTACTTTTGGGGACTGATACAGATACACTGAAGCCAAAACTTGAAATTAGATCATCTTTATTATTAAGTTAATTGACAAGTGTCAGAAAAATTCACTATTACTATTAAAAGGCAGAAAGCTTATACATACAATTTAGGAATTGCTGCTACTCACATTACTGTTTAGATTTTATTTTGAGATTAACAAAGAAGAGGCTTGCACTTAAGCTAATGAGTAACACAATGTAATATTTGAAAATACAATTTTTAAACCACTCTAAAAATGTATATGCCTCTTAGCTAATGTTATCATTGTATCATATTACTTAGGTTCAAGTTCTCCCTTCAAAGAGTCATCAGAATAACATGGATTGAAGAGACTTTCGAACAATTGCCATCTCTTGCTGCTGCTGTTCATGAAAGGAGATATTAAACATTTGTTTAATTTTTAGATAAGTGTTAACCATATTTCAACAAATAAAATATTTCAATGCTTAAAACATATTAATCCTTACTTTTCAGTTTTAATATCATAACTTACAGTATCCATCATAATTTGTTTTTGAAGCATAGCCATTTCATTTTTAAGTTCATTTTGTGCATCAGTAACTAGAGTATCACTATTCTTCTCCAAGTCCTCCATACTCTAAAACACAAAAAACTAGTTTAGTTATAAATCACCATTTTTAATCTCAGGTTCTAAACTTGTGCAATTAATTTTCAAAAGTAGGAACTTAAAAAATTCAAGTAGTGTACATTATTTATTCTTAATAAAAATATTCTAAGTAATCCATCAAAACCAGAATGCCCAATAGGATTAAAAGGTGCCAGACATGAATCAAATAGTATTACAGGAGGTAACAACTGTAGTGCACTGTGCTTGAAACAGTGGGTTAATGAGCTGTTAAGGTTTCAATATTGAATATACTAAAAAAAAAAAAAAAAAAAGACTGGAAATCTACTAAGAAATGATTTATGAACTTTCTATTTTCTATTTTCAGTTGAACCGAGAACTATCACAGTGCTTATATTATGTACAAATCTTATGCACAATATATATATTTTTTGGTAAAATTCCCAATTTACCATTTTCTATTTTGAATAATGGCCACAAAAACATTAGAATCTGAAAGTAGAATATATTTAGTACTTAAATAAAAAACAATGAATTTAAAATGAATAGTTAAGAATTTTAAATGCATAAGCAAAATGTTTTTCCTTAAACTTAGAAAAAAATTATATTCTACTTCCAACATAAATTGCTTTATAAGAATATGCTATGTTACCAAATACAACAGACCTTTATGAATTGTTCATATAACTGTTTAATTGTTTTCAGTCTCTGGCTCTGACCAAGTCTAGATTGTTGAAAAAACTGTTGTTGCTGTTGAAATAAATTCTGCAAATGTAAAAGAAAAAAATCATGTGATAATTTGAGTAAACTTTTAAATGTAGCAAAAAAAATAAGTTTAAAGGGAATAGTTTTAAAGTCAATACTTTTAGATATTTGTTTTAACAGCTATTATAACAAAATTAGAGAAAATCTGTCTTCACCATGAATATCTATACTAATAAAAGGGTAATATGCTAATTAGACTGGATGTCTTCTGGATGAAGCCACGGTGGCAGGGGCCAAGGCAGAGGTGGCTAGGGGCGATCAGGCCAGCAGGGGAGGGCAGTTAGGGGCAATCAGGCTGGCAGGGGAGAGCAGTTAGGGGCAATCAGGGCGGCGGGGTAGGGCAGTTAGGAGCGGTCAGGCCAGCAGGGGAGCAGTTAGGGGTATCAGGCCAACAGGTAGACGTGGTTAGGGGTGATCAGGCAGGCAGGCAAGCAGTTTGCAGCCAGCGGTCCCATATTGCCAGAGGGATGTCCGACTGCCGGACAGGGATCAGGCCTAAACCAGCAGTCGGACATCCCCTGAGGGGTCCCAGATTGGAGAGGGTGCAGGCTGGGCTGAGGGACACCCCCCCACCCCGTGCACGAATTTCATGCACCAGGCCTCTAGTACAATATAATAATTCTAGTCACTGAATAGGAAATCTTAACAATACTCAATATATCTTAATTCTTGGTCCTTTCAACATTAACACAGATAATTCTTCTGATAATGCTGGTCTTTCAGTTCCTTGGCCTAGTTTCTATCCTACTTTAGTCATTCCCTTACATACTTATACCCTAGATTCTGTCATTACCAATAACTAATAACCTGTTTATAGTATGAATAATAGCATACTACTCTGAACTCTTTTAAATAAACTTATCCTATCTAATAATAGACAAACACGGTAACTGACCATACCTTTGCTACGCCTCCCATTGGCTAATCAGCGAGATATGCAAATTAACCGCCAAAAAAGATGGCGGTTAATTTGCATATGTAGGCACGAAGAGGTGGAGCGAAGACTGAAGGCAGCTCTGGCCAGAGCAGCGAAGATGGAAGACTGAAGGCGGCTCCCGCCAGAGCGAAAGCCTGGGTCCCGGGTGCCGGAGGAAAACCTGTGCCGGCAGCCAGGGGAAGGAAAGGCCTATTGCACGAATCTTTTCGTGCAACAGGTCTCTAGTCTACACTAATAAAAGACAAAGGTGCTAATTGACCATACCTTCACTATGCCCACCAGCCAATCAGAAGAGTGCAAATTAACACAACAAAGATGGCGGTTAATTTGCATACACAGGCACCCTGTGAAGACTGAAGACAGTGTAGAAGGAAGCCAAACACTGCAGAAGGGAACGGATCGGAGGTAGCAGAGACGGGAGCGGGGCTGAGGCAGCGGACACAGGAGGGAGCAAAGTGGCGGAGAAGGGACACGGGAGGGAGGTGAAGCAGAGGACACGGGAGGGAGCCGAGGTGGCGGGGAAGGGAGGGAGCCGGGGAAGGGAGGGAGCCGAGGGCGAAGCAGTGCAGGGAGGGAGCGAGGCAGCGGTCCCTTTAACAGTCTCTTTAAATCATGATCACTAGCCTAAATTGGATCCTTAGTGCTGTTTGGCAATTATATTTTCGCTCCGGTCTCAGGAAGCCCTATTCTTGCAGGAATAGGCCCGAGGAAGCCCTATTCTTGCAGGAATCTTCCTGCAACAGGCCTCTAGTTATATATAAAATTAATCCTCCAAGCAACTCTATGAGATAGGTATTCTTATTATTCCCCCATTCATAAATGAGGAAACTGAGGAAAAAAGAAAAATAATTTTCCATAGTTCACAGTTAGCATTTGGTCAAACCAGAATGTGATTCCAAACAGTTATGTTTCTAGACTCTAACCATTACTCATACTGTTTTTCCATATATCCCTTTGTTCAGCCATTTCTCTTTACTATTCTAGCTCACTCTTTGTAGTATTAAAGCTCAGTAATCTCTATCAAGACCTAAAATCTATTTATCCTACCTACTTTTCACTGTCCTCTATTCCCATGTCCTCACATTCCTCTTTCCCAGTGTAAATTCTGTGGTCAATCATAATTACTCCTTTCCATCTATATCTTGCTCTCCCTTCTTATTCTGTCACACTTGTTTGCCTAATCTCAACCCTGGAAAATACAACTCTAGCTATCCTGCCTACAATCCTGAAGATGGTCATAGTTCAAGAAAGCAACTACACTAACAGTCTCTTTAAATCATGATCACTAGCCTAAATTGGATCCTTAGTGCTATTTGGCAATTATATTTTCTTAGTCTGTTCACTGTTCCACTCTCAAGAAAATATACCTTCTGATTTGACCTCAAAGGCAACATATTTTCCATCCTCTGATGACTTTAATTATTTCACTAAACAGAAGCAATCCAGAAAGAGTTTTCAGTCTATCACCATATCTACATACCCATCTACATCTCTGTGTGCTCATATACTCTACCTTCTCTCCTATTTTTGAGGATATACTATCCTTACTGAGGCTTTTTCATATGTCCCATCCATTCTCAAGAATTCAGCCGAAACTGGTTTGGCTCAGTGGATAGAGCGTCGGCCTGCAGACTGAAAGGTCCCAGGTTCGATTCCGGTCAAGGGCATGTACCTGGGTTGCGGGCACATCTCCAGTGGGAGATGTGCAGGAGGCAGCTGATCGATGTTTCTCTCTCATCGATGTTTCTCTCTATCTCTCTCCCTTCCTCTCTGTAAAAAATCAATAAAAATGTATTAAAAAAAAAAAGAATTCAGCAACTGTCTCCCCTCTTTCCACTATTTTTTATTTTTCCCTGAAGATTATTTCTATTTGCACACAAACATGCTACTCTTTCATCATTCTTTAAAAAACAACATCAAAACCCCATGCCCTGGCCAATATAGCAAAGTGGTTAGTGTCGGCCCACACACCAAAGGATTGAGGGTTCAATTCCCTGTTAAGGGCACATTCCTAGTTGCAGGTTGGATCCCTGGCTCTGGTTGGGGCTCCTGTGGATGGCAACCAATCGATGTGTCTGTCTCTCTCCTTTCCTTCCACTCTCTAAACATCAATGGGAAAATGTCCTTGGGTGAGGATTAACAATGCAAAACAAACCACAATATAACCACAATAACACTTTCTACTCAGGCTCCCACCCATTCCCTCCACCCCCATTCTTATACTCATTCTAATTGGGTTTTTGCACTCACTATTCCACCAAAACCACTCTGTTCAAGACTGATCAGAACCATCCTTATCAACACCAATGACCTTCACATCACCCAATCTACCTTATTTGGCCTATAAGCAGCATGTGAAAGTTAATCCTTTCCTTAAAAGGCTTTCTTCACTTTCCTTAAAGTGGTTTTCTTTGTAGCTGTTAGGGCACTCATTCTCATCTTCTTGAACTCTAAACATTGAAATCTACAGGTCCAGTTCTTAGACTTCTCCTTTACATTTACAATCACTCCCTTGGTGATTTCATCCAACCTAATGGCTTAAATGCTGTCTTTATGGTGAGAGTTCCCAACTTTGTATGTTCAACTCATACCTCTTTCCTGAACTGGCCTCATACCAGTGACTTACTCAACATCTCCTCTTGGTATGTTTCATATGCATCTTAACATTTCCAAAACTGAGATGATCAACAAACCCTTAAAATTATTTGATATGAATAGCACCTTAGCTCTTAGATAAGAGATGTGTGATAATTTTACAAACAATGAAAGGATGAAATAAAGATAATGTAGTATGTGTATATATATGGAACTGACTTCCATCTCCCATAGAAATATGCAGGTAACACAAGAGTAAACTATGTTTTGCCCTGGTTGGTTTGGTTCAGTGGATAGAGCATCAGGCTTCAGAATCCGGGTTGGATTCCAGTCAAGGGTCGGTACCTCGGTTGTAGGCTTGATCCCCACGCCCAGTCGTGCAGGAGGCAACCAATCAATGTGTGTCTCTCTCACATCTATGTTTCTCTCTCTCTGTCTCTCCCCTCCCTTCCACTTTCTCTAAAAATCAATGGAAAAATATCCTCGGGTGAGAATTAACAAAAAAAGGGAAGAAAAAAAAAGTAAACCATGTTTTGATCATAACTGATTCAATAATGGGCAAATTTTCCAAAGGTATAAGTGATATTCCTCCAGAGGACTCTTCTGCCAGGGTTACTAAGAAAGACTCAGTCCACTGGGATTACTAAATTTGTTAAGTCTGGGATTGAAAGAAGCTATCTTGCTTACCACATTGAGAGAGCCTACTAAGAATTGGAGACAGAGCCAAGACTATACTACATGAGCAATCCTCCATCCCCATCCACCTATGCCTGAAGCTAACCTACCCCTGGACTTTTTTTTTTATATAAACCAATAGTCCTTTTGTACTTTGGCAAATTTGTGTCACTTGGGACTGAAAGAATCACACCAATATAGGAAGCAAAGACCATCAGTTTTTATGATTTTGGCATGTGCCTATACTTCTCTGGTTTGCCAATCACCAGGACCAAAGCATAATGACAGCAATGGATCATGGAACCTGGCCAAATTCTATGGGTCTCCTACAAGGCTAGGATCTCCATTTCCACTTGACACTTGGTTAAATAGATTAATTATAATTCTAAGCATGATACTAACAGCTAGTTTTTCTTCTTGTTTCTTGGCATTCTGTATATCTGTCTCCCACTGCTGAAACAAAGTCAGAAACTGCTGAGAATATTCTTGGCTAAGCTTCTGCCTATAAAACATAATAATGATATTGTCATATTTCATACTAGTATGGGGAAAAAACATTCAAAACAAAAGTGACTTTACATACTTTATACTATAATAAAAGAAGGAAATAAAAGCATCTTAAAATTTTAGATATGAAACCAAGAAGTAAAATCATGATTCCAGAAGTGTTTATTCTCCTAACCCTAATAAAAAAGTCCTTTCACATGCTTTAGCTCTTGTATATATAAAATTTCCAGAAAACCCCATTTCACTGCCAAGCAGTTTATTTTTCATTTATTCTACTGAATATGGGTTCTGATATGATAGATTCAATGAAGTTATTGTACTAGTATTTATCATATAAGTTTTTCAAATAGACATATTTCACTTAACTTGTGCCCATTTTGGTACAACGATTTATATAAAAGAATAGTTACTTCAGCTTAAATATACAAATTATTTACAATATCAGATTGATCTTTTTCTACACTGTTAAATAGTTGACTTTCACTAGATTAATGGTTTAATAACATTTACTTTTTATTCAGTTAGTATATTTCTATAACAAATACAAATTACCTTTAGACAAAGAAAACTCAATTTTCATTTAAAAGGAGATAAAGGTAATCTTTATTGATTTCTAGGAAATATATTTCAAGTCTATGAAGGAATGAAGTTATAGTACTAAAGGACTTAGAGAAAAATCAAGCCAAATATATTTTTTACTGAAGACCCCAATAAATATAATAGTGTTTTTCATAATTTCCACTAATGAATACTATGAAATGATAAAAATGTGGCTGTGAAAGAACCAACAACCATACCTTTGTTCTTGTTGGGTTTTCCAAATATGTTCAATTTTCTGGTTACTGGTTTTGAGAGAAATCTTGGTATACAGTGCTAGTCTTTTTTTCTTTGTATTAAGAGCATTGCTAATGTTAGCTATGTGGAAAATAAATATTCATTAAAATGTAATATTGAAAATAATTACATATTTTGTTTCCAAATCCTATATAATAAAAGCCTGATATACAAATTGACCTAATGGCGGAACGACCGGTAGAATGACCAGTTGCTATGACTTGCACTGACCACCAGGGGGCAGACGCTCAATGCAGGAGCTTCCCCAAGCCCACAGGCCCCAGGTCAGCCAAGGTGGATGCCAGCGAGGGCCCCAATTGCCTCACAGAGGGAGGTGACCGGCGGGTGCAGGGCTGGCTGGCGAGTGGGTGGCAACGCCCCCCGAGTGCCCCGCTGGTCACCTTCCTCTGTGGGGCGACCGGCGGTGGCGGTGGGGGGCAGGGCCAGCGAGCGGGTAGCACCAGGCCGGCCAAGGCGGGTGCCAGCGGGGACCCCAGATCGCCCCACCGGTTGCCCTACAGATTGGCCCTGATCGCCGGCCTTGCCTAGGGACCCTACCCATGCACAAATTTTGTGCACCCGGCCTCTAGTATTGAAATAAATATGAGTAAACGTGGTTCAATAGTTTCAGAAAGACATTTAAAATTAAATTTTAAAATAGGCATAATATCCAAAAGCAAGGTTATTTGCTTTTTTCTGAGAAAACTTTTCATTATTAATATCCAAGTTCAGATTTTTTAAAAATTTATAGATGATTAAAAAGAGTTAATAAAAGGAAAAAAGGACCTCAAGGACAGGCTTTAATTTCCTCATGAGAAAACACAAAGGCTACATTTTTCTAAATTTATAAAATACTCACCCACCTCACCCCAACTGAAACAACACATTTAGATTAATTGTTATTAGAACTCATTATATGAAACACACAAAACTATTTTTAAATCCAAAAAGGATAAAAATAGTTAAATCAAAGAATAAGAAAATTATTATTTTATTATTTGTTAATCTTCACCTGAAGACATGCTTAGAGAGAAACACCAATGTGAGAGAGAAACAATTGGTTGCACTCCACATGCTCCTCAACTGGGGCTCAAACCTGTAATCCAGGTATGTGCCCTCAGCAGGAATCGAACCAGCAACCTCTGGGTGCATGGGAGGATGCTCAACCAACTGAGCCATTCTAACCGGGCAATTATTTTTAAAAAATACAGTTGGTGCCCTGACCGGTTTGGCTCAGTGGATAGAGCATCAGCCTGCGGACTGAAGGGTCCCAGGTTCGATTCCAGTCAAGGCCATGTACCTTGGTTGCGGGCACATCCCCAGTAGGGGTGTGCAGGAGGCAGCTGATCGATGTTTCTCTCTCATCGATGTTTCTAACTCTCTATCCCTCTCCCTTCTTCTCTGTAAAAAATCAATAAAAATATATTTTTTAAAAAATACAGTTGGTAATCATTTTAAGCATATACTTTACTAAAACAGACCAATACCAACCATAGAAAAATCTTAATTTAAGAAAATATCTAGCCTGACTGGTGTGGCTCAGTGGTTGAGCATCGACCTATGAACCAGGATGTCACAGTTCATTCCCCGTCAGTACATTGCTCAGGCTGTGGGCTCCAATCCCCAGTGTGGGGCTTGGAGGAGGCAGCTGATCAATGGTTCTCTTTAATCATTGACGATTATATCTCTTTCCTTCTCCCTTCTTCTCTGAAATCAATAAAAATATATTTTTTAAAAGAAAGAAAATATCTAGATAAATAATTTAAGAACCTTTTGAATACTTTCATGGAGCTATTTGTAGCACATTTTTATTCATAAGTACTATATTTAAAATTTTTTATTTTTATTTTTTTAATATATTTTATTGATTTTGTACAGAGAGGAAGGGAGAGGGATAGAGAGTTAGAAATATCGATGAGAGAGAAACATTGATCAGCTGCCTCCTGCACACCCCCCACTGGGGACATGCCCACAACCAAGGTACAGCCCTTGACTGGAATCGAACCTGGGACCTTTCAGTCTGCAGGCCGACGCTCTGTCCACTGAGCCAAACCAGTCAGGCTAAAATTTTTTAAATATGTTTTTATTGCTTTAGAGAGAAGAAAGGAGAGGAAGAGAAACACTGATGAGAGAAACATTGATCAGCTGCCTCTCATACATACCCTGACCAGGGACTGAACCCGAAACCTGGCATGTGCCCTGACCTGGAATTGAACTGGCCCCTTTTGGTGTGCAGGACAACACTCAACAAACTGAGCCATACCGGCCAGGACTCAAAAAAATTTTAATACTTTAAATAATGCTTTGCTAAACACATGCATATGGATCTACCTTCAAGTATTATTTTTCAATAGTCATGATGGAGCTGCATTATTATATAAATATTTTATATATCCAATATCCATCAATAACAATAAGTACATATAATTACAAAACAAGCATTTTGCCACCACCAAACAGAACAAAGTTTTCAAAAAAGACTCAATTATATGATGAATAAAACATATAGAGAAGGCAAAATTGACTTTTTTGAGTACTGTGTCCCCAAACAATGTAATTGATATCTGACATACTGTTTAAAGTTTATGAACTTTTTATCAGATTATATATTTCTTAGTAGCTAGGCAAGGCTGTTTTTACTTCTCAACTATATAGTTTAATGATGTAAAAATAACAATAGAGTTACTTCAAAGACTTCAGTTTACACTCCCCTGTTAAAGAAAAGAACTAAGGAATGTTATAGAAATTAACTAAATTGAGTAAATGGAAAACTGACATACATACAAATATGTGTGTGTCTGTAGTGTGTGGAAGAGTCTGCAAAAGTCCAAAGAGGGGCAAAGACTTTTTCCATCCATTATGTCCTAAAATTCCAATTCATTAAATTTGCACATGTATAAAATAAAAGCACCATTCTACTACTCATCATTGTTAGTACCATTTGCACTCTTCACATCAACAACTGAAAAAGGTTAAGAAAGAAAAACTATGAAGCTGAATCACACAATATATTTATGCAAAGTCATTTCTATGGGAACAAAGCATTAAATGACAGTCTTGAGCCTGGTTGGTGTTGCTCAGTGGTTAAGTGTCAACCTCTGAACTAGGAGGTCACAGTTCAATTCCCCAGTCAGGGCACATGTCCGGGTTGTAGGCTCTATCCCCAGAAGGGGGCGTGCAGGAGGCAGCCCATTAATGATTCTCTCTCATCA